CAGGTGTTCCTGTGATTGGGTTTTCACGTAAACCATTAATAATTTCTAATGGAAGTCCAAAAACGTTACTTTGATCAAATGGTGGGCATCCATTACTTGAAATCTCCCACATTAACACACCAATACTGTATACGTCAGATTTCTTATTATAGTGATAATTTAAATCTTCAAGTTTGCGAGGATCAATAAAAGGGATTACTCCAAAATCTCCCTTACTACTAGTTGTTGAAATTCTATTAAGATCTTTTGAAAGCCCAAAATCCGAAATTTTAACATTTCCATCATGAACAAGAATGTTCAAAGTGTGCTAAATTACAGAACAGATAATATGCTTATAAATAACTTGATAAATAACTTTTCAAAGCTTATCAAATTAAATACTTTACCAAATCACAATGTATAATATTTATTTTATGAAGATAAGACATTCCTTCAGCTATTTGACTTGCTATTTGAATTTTTTTTGACCATTCTAATTTGTTTTGTAGATATTCTCGTAAATTCCCATTATTTGCATATTCCATTACAAGATATCGCGTTTTGGTTTTGAAGTCTGTTGTGTTTTATAATAAAGTTTAAAATCAAAATTTGATAATTTCTAAAATTATGATAATTTATAATTATAGATAGCTTACTGAAACCATTTCCATAAAATTTAATAATTCGCTCATGGTTAGACTTATAGTGTATTTTTACCTAAAAATGCCATTAATCTTAGAAAGCCGATAAATAACAAATATTATCTAAATATCTAAATAATATACCTCATTTCTAAAACCCTTTTGAGACTTTTCATCCATTTTTGAATCTATTTCCTTCATGGCCACGTCACCTAACGAGCGAGAGTTTGCCTGGTACACTGTTCCAAAAGCTCCACGTCCTAATCTTTCCCCGATTGTCAAATAATCATAAAATATTTCAATCATGATATACTCTTTAAGCTGGTTCTCGTGGCTACGTCATTTAAAACATAAATGAAAAAGACAAAGGAGCAACATTTAATGGCGATGATAAATTACGCTCATGATTTTCTGAATAAACCATATTTACTCTCTGGCAATTTGATATTCAAGTGAAAAATGTAGATAACTTAATAAAGAAGTCTATTTGACGATGAAATATGTACATTATTTTATGAATAAACTATATACTCACTCCCTGTAATTTAAAATAAAGAACAAAGAAGCAATATTTAATAAAGAGCACTAAAGTAATTAGAAAAAATGGCGGTTCAATTTTAACAAAACTTATACTCACTTGGCAAGAACTTCACTAGTTTGTGAATTCAATTCAGGTAATGCTTCAAAAGTAGAAGTTTTAATTAGTTTTAAATGAATAAATAATGTACTATAATTTTTAAAAGAAAACTGATAATAAAGTCATAATCAATTTGATTCCGTTATATCGGGAATCACTGTATATTAAAGTACAATTTTAAGACTAATGTTTGAGAAATAATATTCCTACCTAGACCTTTCTCTGTTATTTCTGTAAAAATTCTTAAAATTTCTCTTACAATGTAAGCAGTTGGACGTTCTGTTAAATTTTGTTCTATAACCTCTGCATTGGCTACCGTGGGATGAGTAATCAAAATTTTTTCTAGTCCGACTGAAGACACTAGGTATTCCTAAAATAAATAGTCAAACGGTATATTATTTTCACAAAGAAAAATGGATGTGCTTTTTAAAATTTTAATTTAGTATTTTACCATATATTTGTTCAACTCTTTAACATTATCGGTGATAAAAAAAACTTCAGTTCTATTCGGATGTTCAGCAACCCAACAAGTTTTGAGTGCTACTAAATGATCTTGGTTAAAATCGGGTCCTATCTCGTACACGTACACCTCTTGTGGGTCCAATTTTAGATCAATGGCATCTTTCTTCTTTTCAAACAATGCGGGCAGTCGCTCGGTTTCGCTAGTAGACGTTCCAGAAGAAATATTTTTATGATCTAAAATAACCTTTTTAACTTCTATAAAATCAGCATCACTACTTCTATAGACACGTATGGGCACAAAAATTTGAATATTGTTGGTATTTTTTTTCCATAGTCTTATGTTCATTTTTCAGATCTTTTTATTTAAAGAGTATGTATATTTTTGAACTATTTGTTATATCGGGAGTCACTGTATATTAAAGCACAATTTTAAGACTAATGTTTGAAAAATAACATTCTTACCTGGACCTTTCTCTATCTTTTTTCTCAAAATTCTTCTCAAAATTTTTCCTGATGGAGTTTTTGGTATTTGATTAATAAAATAGACCCCCCCCCCCTCTTAAATCCTTATGTGGTGCTACTTTATCATTTATATATTTTTGTATTTCACTTTTTAACTCCAGTGTTTTTTTGTGGTCTGGTTTTGTTACAATGTAAACAGCTGAATGTTTTGTTAAATTTTGTTCTGAATAATGTCCTATAACTGCTACATCGGCTACCGCTGGATGATTAAGCAAAATTTCTTCAAGTTCGACTGGAGACACTAAGTTTTCCTAAAATGAATAGTCAAATGGTATATTATTGCCATCAAGAATATTGGATACAGTAAAACCTCTCTATAGTCACAACCCTTGGTTTGAAGAACTTGGTGCTTATAGAGAGTTTGTGCTTAGATAGAGGTTAAAGTTTATTATGTGTTATGTAAGTTGGTTTTAAAAATTTATGTGATTATAAGCAAATGAGAATATAGAGGAGGTGACTATAGAGAGGTCTGACTGTATACTTTTTTAAACTTTTAATATAGTACTCTACCTTATATTTAATCAACTCTTTAACACGATCGGTAATAAATAAATTCCCTGATTTTTTGTAAAAAAATAATTTCATTAAAAATCAATAATTAAACAAATATATTTAACAAAAGTAACATGAATTCAAAAAATATTGATTACCAAGCCCTTTTACCGGCACTATCTTGGCTTCTATATTCGGAAGGAGACCACCAATTGATCCTTTGGAATAATTGTACATACTGAATGTCTAAAAGGCAACAAAAAGTCAACAATCCTTTTTTAACAATTATTAAATACCTGCAAAAATGTTATTTGAACCATACAGATGGATTACTTGTAATGTTTCAGTAAGCCTTAATAATAATAATATTGCTGTTAGTTATAAATTGTTTTCAGATTAAACATTAAGGATGAGATCTGTCATACTCGGTTATCGGCACGGTTATAACCGGTCAAATGACCGGTCATAGCATAATTGAACCCACATCCTTAACTCATAATTTGGGATGAGTTCGGCTACAGTTATAGCTAATCGGTCAGAGACTTTTAACCTACTGTTTAGTAGTGCTGTATATCTGAAATCAATGAGATAATAATTGACAGTAACCGACCGAGCCCATCCCTATTGAAGATAACTCATTATACAAAATACCATATTCTTGTTTAATTGGTAGTTTAAGAATTTTATAAAATTTTCACTCAACTCTTTGCTTAGTGAAGCTGCACCACCGAAAAACTTTATTAAACTCGGGATATAGTTTTTAACAATAGGATTCGCAGCAAATTTAAGTATGGTTTGCGGAATGACATGAGCGTAACTAATCTTATAGTTTTGAATACAAACACAAATTTTTTTTATATCGGTATCGAGCTTGGGAATAATGACGGTAGTTCCACCCTTTAAAATTAATTGCATTTAGAACGAACATTTCATAGATATGTGAAAAGGGTTTAGTAGAACGGTTTATTTCAGATTTTTTAATTTTTCTAATAGATTAATTCTCTACGTAAAAATACTCACTAACTCTCCCATAAAAATAGCATCCTTCCCAAAATCATCCACTCCAAAGAGAAAAATTTTAGATTTTGGAATATTAGCCTTTTCTGCTGCTTTAAAAACGACATCATAATATTCTGGATGTGAGAATATCGTAGATGCGCCAGACTCAGTCAATCTGATGCAAGTTTGTCCACTTTACACAAAGGATTAGATGGGAACACTATACCTCCTAATAAATAAAAAGACAAGATATTTATATGAGATCACGATTATAAATAACTAACCGTAAAGTTTCAAACTGCAAATAATTAGAATTTACCGGCCACAATTGCACCAAACACCGCAGTATGGTAATCTACCTATTTCATCATTAATATTATTCAAGTTAATAAGCAAGTTATCTTTTGAAGAATATTAATAATAGGAATAAAAATCCATAGTAACTGTATTATTTATAGCGATGTCAATTAAATTAATTTGGTATAGTATTATATATATTTTTAACGCTAATAGTTTTTGTATTATTTAAAACTCGGTAACATGCATAAGAAGTTATTTGAACTACGATAAAAACATTACCATTAACATCTATCATCAAGATATTAATAAATAAATTGCTAATAATTTCAAAAGACATGTCCGTCATGATATTTAAGTATGATATATTGCAAGTTTGTAATTATCAAATAATATTTTTGTAAAGCCAATTAAGTTGGCATCGTTAGCATCGCTAATTATTTACCTGATTATGTGAACAAATTGCTAATCGAGCAGCTAGTTTTTTGGAATTACTTTTTAATTTGCCAAAGGTCACCTTCTTATCATTAATCCCATCAACTAATATTACTTTATTATCAGACATTCCATTCGGATTACTAGTTACATACTGATAAATTCTAATACTGGAAATGTTGACATTTGGATAATTTGATTTTAAAAAAATACCCATTGCAAAAAAAAAAAAAACAAAAAATCCTTTAAAGTTCAATTCACGATTGTTCATTTATAAGTTACATCGCCGATTGGCTTGGCAAAATATATATCAAAAAGAAAGAAAGGGGGTTAGATCAAATTTTATAAATCACACTAGGCTTAGAAAGTCCATATATTATATGTGTAATGAGTAGGTTGGAAGTAAGTGATACAAATCAAAAAAAGGGGATGGAATAAACAACATGTGATGATCTTTTTTTTATATCTTCTAGCAAAGGTTTCTTAACGAATTTAATATTTTTTTATTTTAATTTTATAAGTTTATAGAATTGAAATTAAAGAAGCTTCATTAAGTTTGGCCTGGTAGTTATCGAGAAAACTCATTTAAAGAACCAATGAAATATGGCTACGATTACGGGTTTTAAATTTTAAATGAAAATTTCTCAATAACCATCTATGCAAATATAATGAAAATTTTATTATTTTAATTCTGCGAATATGTAGAATTAAAATAAAAAAGATTATCGAATTTGATTTTTATTTTGTATACTCGCAGAATTAAAATAAAAAAATTTTCATCGAATTTCGACAAATGGTTGTTAAAACTTTAAATGAGGACTTCTCAACAACCACCTATCGAAATTCGAGAAAAGTTTTTTTTATTTAATCCTGCTGGTATGTAGAATGAAAATAAAAAAAGTATTGAATTTGGATAGATAGTTGTTAAGAATTACAATGAAACCCCATAAATACACACTCTTGGAACTGAACTTTAACATGCATTTAGAGAACAATAAGAAAAAGTGCATTTATAAAAGCTATGCATATGTTTGGGCCAGAGGTTGAACGTGCATTTAGAGAGGGTGTGCATTTATAGAAGGTGCATTTATAGAGACTTCACTGTATCAGTTAAATGAAAAAAATTTAGTCGCAGTTTTTTTTTTTTTTTTTTTTACTGATGCCAAAACTTTGATCAATTTTTGTTAGTTTTCAATCAATAGTTCTCAACAACCACCTATTCAAGTTTGATAATCCTTTATTTAATTCTAACAATTCCTGTATTTGGCTTTTTAAAATTAAATATACAAGCTACTAGCATCTCCAGAATTATATAGAAAGCTTCAAATATTAGAAAGCTTCAAATATTAATGTTTTTTTTAAAAAAAATATATGAAGTCATAGCTTTATTTTTACTAATAGTTTTGTTTGTGCAGATTGTTATGCAGTCGTTATTTTTGTTTAGTGGGAGTCTACTAAGTTTTATCATTTGATTTTAGAATTCGTCAATGGTTTTTTGAGTTTAGGATTCGTCATTTTGTTTTTTTTGATATTAGGTTTCGTCTTTCGCCATCATTCGGAAAAATTTCGTCTAATTATATCTGCACTAGATTAACTTATAATCTTTTCCTTTTTAGGGTTAGTATTTCCTTATTAGACAGGTAACGGTAATATAATTAGGCGGCACCTATCAGCAATAACTCTTTTATATTAAAGATATATTTCTAACCCTAATAGTATATATTTTCCGGACCAACCGGATTTTTTAACGATAATGATTGTGATCAAACATGACAATTGTGATTAAACATGACATAAGCAAAAGGTTGCGAGTTTTTTGTGGAGTTTTTTTTTTTGTTTTTTGCAATGAATATTTTTTTAAAGTCAAATTATCCAGATGTCGACATTCCTGGTGTTGGAATTTATCAGTATGTAACTAGTAATCTGAATAGAATTTCTGATGATAAAGTAATATTGGTTGATGGGATTACTGATAAGAAAGTGACCTTCGGCGAATTAAAAAGTAATTCCACAAAACTAGCTGCTGGATTACAATCAATCGGATTTAAACGTGGCGATGTTTTAGCAATTTGTTCACATAATCAGGTAAATAATTAGTGATGCCAACGGTGCTAACGATGTCAACTTAATGAATTTTACAAAAATACCATTGTTTGATAATTACAAAATTGCAATATATCGTAATTAAACCAGCATGGTTTAAAATGAATTTGAAAAAATTGCGTTAAAGGCTTATATTATGACGGTCATATCATTTGAAATTATTAGCAATCTATTTATTTAATATCTTGATAGATGTAATAATAATGCTTTTATCGTAGTTTAAATAAGTTATGCATGTTACCGAGTTTTAAATAATACAAAACTTATTACCGTTAAAATATATAATGCCGTACCAAATTATTTTAATAAGTTAACATCACTAAAAATAATACAGTACCATGGATTTTCATTCCTGTTATTAATATCTTCAAAAGATAACTTGCTTATTAAATTGAATAATATTTATGTGAAATAGGTGGATTACCATACTGTGGTGTTTGGTGCAATTGCGGCCGGTAAATTCTAATTATTTGCAGTTTGAAATTTTTCGGTTTATTATTTATAATCGTGATCTCATAAATATCTTGTCTTTTTATTTATTAGGAGGCATAGTGTTCCCATCTAATCCTTTGTGTAAAGTGGACGAACTTGCATCCCGATTGACTGATTCTGGCGCATCTACAATATTCGCACATCCAGAATATTATGATGTCGTTTTTAAAGCAGCAGAAAAGGCTAATATTCCAAAAACTAAAATTTTTTTCTTTGGAGAAAAAGAATTCAATAGACTTCAAAATTACCGTTCACTAATCGGCGATCATGAAATTGTGCCTGTTTCATATACATCAGAAGAAGCTAGAACGACTACTGCCATCCTATGTTACAGTTCTGGAACTGTTGGAGAACAAAAAGGCGTAGAAATTACACATACAAATATCGTTGCAAATGCGGCACAGCTTATGGCAGTGGATGATTTTGGAAAGGATGACATTTTTATGGGAGGGTTGGTGAGTATTTTTACAAGAATTAATCTATTAGAAAAGTTAAACTTTCTGAAATAATCAGTTCTACTACAGCCTTTTTCCCACATCTATGGATTGTTCGTTCTTGTGTTTTTGACTGTCATTATAGTAAGTTTCTAAACGTTATTTGGTTTGGTTTTTTATATAATTAATGCATGTTTTTATATCAATTAATTTAAAGGGTGGCACAACTGTCGTTATTCCCAAACTCGATACCGATATAAAAAAACTTTGTGATTGTATTCAAAACTATAAGATTAGTTACGCTCATGTCATTCCGCAAACGATACTTAAATTTGCTACGAATCCTATAGTTAAAAACTATATCTCTAGTTTAAGAATGATTTGCAGTGGTGCATCTCCATTAAGCAAAGAGTCGAATGAAAAATTTTCTGAAATTCTTAAAATACCAATTAAACAATTATACGGTATTTTGTATAATGAGTTATTTTTAATAGGGATGGGTTCGGTCGGTTACAATCGGCTATTGTCAATTATTAGCTAGTTGATTTCAGATGTACAGCACTGCTAAACAGTAGGTTAAAAGTCTCAGACCGATTAGCTATAACTGTAGCTGAACCCATCCCTAATTATAAGTTAAGGATGTGGGTACAATTACGCTATGACCGGTCATTTGACCGATTATAACCGTACCGATAACTTACAAAACCCATCACTAATCTTTAATCTGAAATCAATTTATAACTAACAGCAATATTATTATTATTATTATTATTATTATTATTATTAGGGCTTACTGAAACATTACAAATAACCCATCTATATGGTTCAAATAACATTTTTGCAGGTATTTGATAATTGTTAAAACCGGATTGTGATGACTTTCTGCTGCCTTTTAGACATTCCGTCTGTACAATTATTCCACAGGATCAATTGGTGGCCTCCTTCCGAATATAGAAGCCAAGATAGTGCCGATAAAAGGGCTTGGTAATCAATATGTTTTGTATTCGTGTTTAATATCAAGAGTATATATATTAAATTCAGGTTTAACTTTCCAAATTAGGGCCTAATGAAGGAGAAATATGTATTCGTGGTCCAAATGTCATGAAGGTAATTCTTGACAGTTAATTCTTGACAGTTAACTCTAATATATTATAATTGTAATAAGTTTTTGTAAATAGAGATATTTTAATGATGATGAAGCAACAAAAGTCTCCTTTGATGAATATGGATTTTTCCATACTGGAGATATCGCACGTATAGATAATAATGGTAATTGATATTATATCATTATCAAATTTTTTAATGTATTTGTTTAATTATTGGTTCTTAATGAAGTGATTTTTTTGGAAAAAAAAACAAACAGGGAATTTGTTCATCACCGATCGTGTTAAAGAGTTGATAAAATATAAGGTAGAGCAATATATTAAAAATTTTAAAATGCATATCCATTATTCTTGATGAAAATAAGATAAAATTTATAATAACTATTTATTTTAGGAATACCTAGTGTCTCCAGTCGAACTCGAAGAAATTTTGCTTACTCATCCTGCGGTAGCCGATGTAGCAGTTATAGGACATTATTCCGAACAAAATTTAACAGAACATCCAACTGCTTACATTGTAAAAAAACCAGATCATAAAAAAACACTGGAGTTAAAAAGTGAAATACAAAAATATATAAATGATAAAGTAGCACCACATAAGAAATTAAGAGGTGGGGTCTATTTTATTAATCAAATACCAAAAACACCATCAGGAAAAATTTTGAGAAGAATTTTGAGAAAAAGGCTAGAAAAAGGCCCAGGTAAGAATATTATTTTTCAAACATTAACCTTAAAATTGTACTTTAATATACAGCAACTCCCGATATAATAAATAGTTCAAAAAATTCTCTTTAAATAAAAGATCTGAAAAATGAACATGAGGTTATGAGAAAAGATACCAACAATATTCAAATTTTTGTGCTCATAAGTATTAATAGAAGTAGTAATAAGCCAAATTCTTGGAGTGATGCTGATTTTATAGAAGGTAAAAGGTTTATTTTAGATAATAAAAGTATTTCTTCCGGAACGTCTGCTAGCGCATATGTTGAAACCGAACGACTGCCCGCATTGTTTGAAAAGAAGAATGATGCTATTGATTCCAAATCGGACCCACAAGAAGTATATGTGCACGAGATAAGATCTGATTTCCAGCAAGATCATTTAATAGCACTCAACACTTGTTGGGTTGCTGAACATCCGAATAGAACTGAAGTTTTTCTTATCACCGATAATTTTAAAGAGTTGAACAAATATATGGTAGACTAAATTAAAAATTTAAAAAGGACATCCATTTTTCTTGGTGAAAATAATATACCGTTTAACTATTTATTTTAGGAATATCTAATGTCTTCAGTCGGACTAGAAACACAAACTAGTGAAGTTCCTGCCAAGTGTGTACAAGTTTTGTTAAAATTGAATCGCCATCTTTTCTAATAACTTTTAGTGCTCTTTATTAAATATTGCTTCTTTATTCTTTATTTTAAATTACAGAGAGTATGTATATACAGTAGTTTATTCATAAAATAATGTACACATTTCATCGTCAAATAGACTTCTCTATTAAGTTATCTCTATTTTTCACTTGCAAATCAAATTACCAGAGAGTAAATATAATTTTTATTCATAAAATCATGCATGTAATTTATCATCGTCATTAAATGTCACTTATTTGCCCTTTTTACTTATGTTTTAAACGACTTAGCCGTGAGAACTGGCTTAGAGTACATACCTTATCTTATGATAGCTTAACAATCGAGGAAAAATTAGGACGCGGAGGTTTTGGAACAGTGTACCGAGCAAAATCTCGCTCGTTAGGTGATGTGGCAATTAAGGAAATAGATTTAGAAACAGATGAAATGGCCCAGAATGTTTTCAGAAATGAGGTATATTATTTAGATATCTAGATAATATCTGTTATTTATCGGCTTTCTAAAATATAATGGTATTTTTAGTTACAAAAACTCAGTAGGTCTAGCCATGTGCGAATTGTTAAATTTTATGGAATTAGTTTCGGTAAGCTATTTATAATTATGCATTCTCATAGTTTTAGCAATTATCTAAATTTTGATTTAAAGCTTTATTATAAAATACAACAGACTTCAAAACACAGTATCTTGTAATGAGATATGTAAATAATGGAACCTTACGAAAATATTTACAAAACAATAAATTAGAATGGCCCAAAAAAATTCTATTAACGAGCCAATTAGCTGAAGGAATGTCTTATCTTCATAATATCGATATTATACATCGTGATTTGGTAAAGCATTTAATATTATTTAATCGCTGTAAGCTTTGAAAAATTATCAAGTTATTTATAAGCATATTATCTGTAATTTAGCACACTTTAAACATTCTTGTTCATGATGAAAATGTTAAAATTTCAGATTTTGGGCTTTCAAAAGATCTTAATAGAATTGCAACAACTAACAGTAAGGGGCCTTTTGGATCAATCCCTTTTATTGATCCTCGTAAACTTGCAGATTTAAATTATCACTATGATAAGAAATCTGACGTATACAGTATTGGTGTGTTAATGTGGGAGATTTCAAGTAATGGATGCCCCCCATTTGATCAATGTAACTTTTTGTTTAGACTTCCATTAAAAATTATTGAGGGTTTACGTGAAGAACCAATCACAGGAACGCCTA